ACCATGAGGTAAACACAAAACAAAACTTTCCATCCGAAGCTCCTTCCTGGGACTCCACACTTGCAAAGAATCGCTCCATCAGTCTCGCGCTATTCGCACGGCTCTCGGTACCGCCCAGACTCGTCAGCGCTACCAAGCCGATCAATCACAGAGCCTGCGCTATGTGTCGGTGCGACGTGTAGTTGCATGTTTTGAGAGGTGCATGTCAGAGACGTTGACGGCCATGGCATATGGCTACGTGTAGGCTGTGCCGTAGCATATGCGTGCGCTTGACGCAGAGGTATAAATCAGCCTTAAGCCTGCGAGGGAAGACTGGTTTATTGCCATAAGCCACGCTTCAAGATTCAGATCTCCAGTTGGAGATGGCCCAGGAGATGGAGGTGGCCCAAGGATGGCCCAGTCAAACATCTCAGTTGACAAGTGTGCTGCACAGGTTTTATGCAGCTAGGGCTCACCTTTCAGAAATTGTTCTACTTTTGCTGTATAAGGATAGAATTATGATTTCTGGTTTACAGAGACTGGATGTGTTACGTCAGCTTCACACAGATCATCAAGGCCTCACGAAGTGCAAAAAGAAGGCAAATATGTCTGTATGGTGGCCTAGAATAGGCAAAGATATTACAAAAACAGTAGAGACGTGCACGTTCTGTCAAGTCTAAAAGTCGATAAAAAAGAGAGAACCCCTGATGGTTACAACCCTTCCTGATGGGCCATGGCAAAAGATCGCTGTGGACATATGTGAACTAGATGGTAAGAAATATTTAATAGTGGGAGACTATTATTCTCGTGATATTGAGATCACACTTCTGCAAACTATTACAAGCCAGCAGGTGATTAAGCATCTGAAAACTATGTTTGTTCAGTGGGGGATCCCATACAAACGTATAACTTACAATGCTACTCAGTTTACGTCCGCTGAGTTTGTGGAGTTCAAAACGTCATACGGTTTCGTTCACACTACCTCCAGCCCTCACTACTCACATCCAGATCCACGGCTAGCTTTAATAAGCTATCTTGCTACACAGACTATATGAATGGGTTTGCTACCCCAATTTCCAGTACACTACACGCTCATACACCTTTAAGCAAAAGAACCCTTACTGGTATAGAAGTAAAACAGCCAGTAAAATTTAAGGATTATGTTTTGGGGTAGGTGTTTACACTAACCGTACAGATGCAAAGGATCCACTTGGATGTTAACTTCTACAGTATGGTGTAAGATTGTGAAAAAAAAAGAAAAAAAATGAACTTAAAAACACATCTGTGATGTTGACAGGTTATGGTTAAGAGTTTGACGATTGTAAGCAAAGGATATTGTTAAGTTGATATTGATATCTGTTACCAGTTTGGAAAAATAATTTGCTTTGTTCTATGTTGCTAAAAGGGAATTTGCTATATATTTACTACAGGGGGGCATCATCACTTTAAGGAGGGGAGATGTGGTGATATGTGAACATGTCGGGGTCCAGGGTTGCTGGGGCAATGGGAGTGGAGTAATTTACATTGTAAAAGCACTAGATAATTAGTTCTACAGGTTTTACGTTCAGAAGATGAATAATTTGAGTAAACCCTTCTGAGTACTGGTCAGAGCACAAAGGATGTGGAGACAGGTTATCTGTTTTAACACTTTATATTGAATGTTGAGGAGTTGAATGACCCCAGATGAAAATGCAAGGATGTACATAGTCTGAACAATATTAAGTACAATAAAAATAATAAATGAGCTACAAATGTATAAACAAAATTTGCTGTTATGTAATAAACCAGTATTCCTTATTAACATCAGTTACTAGGGATGTAACGGTATCAGAATTTCACGGTACGGTAATACCTCGGTATGAATGTCACGGTACAGTATTTATTGAATCATGTACAGGAAAAAACAAAACTTATGAAAATACTCCAAAAAAGTACCAAAAGTGTCAATGACATACAAATTAGCCATCTATCTGTAAGCTTTGAAACAGTAACTTCAATTTTAATAACAAAAAAACATTAATCCATGTAAAAAAATTAAGTTTTAATTTAGTATTGTTGAAAACTCATCACATTCAACATTTAATCACTCACTCACTTAGATAGAGATGGGTTTAAAGGAAAATTATCATATAAATATAATCTGGTAAAAGCTGGTATCTCTGGGTATTTACAATGTCCCCTGCAACAGAAAAAAACCCTCTCATTTGGGACTCAGGTTTCTGGGACAAGAGAGATATGACTTGGCCCAGGTTGACAGCAGTGGGTAACGTTGTGCATTGTCTTTCCCCCACTTGAGAGGACAAACCATGAGTGAGATAGAGATCTCATGTCTGCATCAATCTGAACAGTGTGCTGTGTTTCTGCAGTCCCCATGACTGAGTCGTATTCCCCAACTTGCAGGCACATGCACACACAGTGCTCAACCTGTGCAGTGCACATGCCCTTTTTAGTCTTGGATAGAAAGTTCCCTTCCAAAATGATCAAAAGTGCCCCAGCGACGCGACATACCCTTTGTCCCCGCTTTACAGTACGCGCGCGACAACACAGCTGATAAGAACTCGCGCGACAACACCACTATTCAGTACGCGCGTGACAACACAGCTGACAAGAACTCGCGCGACAACACCACTATTCAGTACGCGCGCGGCGACAACACCCACTTTAGGGTTTTCCAGCTCTTTTTGATCCCCGCTTCTAGCAGCACACTCCATTTCCGCATTACTGGATCTGTAGCGACAACAGACCGCAAGGGATTATGGCCAAGCCTGGGCTGATGGGAATTGTAGTTTCCGGTACCTCCCGTTTGCTTCATTCGCCTGAGCAAATTTTCTCAGAAGACCTATAGTTTTACCGAGTCATGCGACTACGGTAATATCGAAAAAAATTAATATTGCAGTATGACGGTATTTACAATACCGTTACATCCCTATCAGTTAAATTTTTTTACTAAACAATTTAGATAAGTAGAAATTAGATTTATCTGGAAAAAGGTCTAGATTAAACATTCATGTGTCGATAGAATACTCATTCACATGCAGGTATACATTAAATGCCCAGAAATGCTACAAATTGTGAGGCAGTTAAACAGTCTTTCAGCCATACTAGCCCCTTTCCACGTTTAATTTATAACATATCAGATTCACATTACAATATAAACTGTTAGGAAAACCTCAAAGGAGAATAATAACGGTGATCTGAACAACTGAATGATCATTACGGGTCATGTCCGGGCTTGTCCGTATACTAAAGATGTATATAAAATTGTTTGGGTAAAACAGAAACCATTAACAAATTAATAACGAAAGGGCTTATTTTGAGTTTAGTGACTAGCATCCAGATATTGCATCTGCAGCAATCATTGAAAGCGAACGGGTATAAAACGTCCTCTCAGCTGTTAATGCGCACAGCTTTCACGCACCCGCAGACATCGGCAGCTCCTCTCACTTAGGGATGGCTGATGTGAAACTGACGTTTCGACACAATGTCGAGATCCTGAAGCACAAGTATTTCGAAACACTGCACCGAAGCACCCAAGTCACATGACTTAAGTGTTTCGAAACACCTGGTCACGTAACTAAAGCGATTCAAAGTATTAATCAGCTCAGAAGGCCTGGCGAATCTGTATTTGACTACCAAGGTCAGAGAAAATCCCTGTTTCATATGGCCTAGTGGACTGTGCGTGTGCACGCTGTTGCTATGCTTCGAATTACTTTTTTGGTTCGAATCCCAACTTGTACAAATACTCTGAAGTCATGGTTTTGTGTGTTTTAATCATGTTTCTGTTTTGTGTAGCCTAAATAGGATACAGCTGCAGTTACGCCATCAATTTAGCATCATTTTTGTAACACTGTAAAACAATAATTAATATTTTACAGTACTGTGATGGTTGGGTTTTGGGTTTGGGTAGACGTTAATAAAATGCAATAAATGGAAAATTTAATGAATAATATAAATAATTCTTGACAACTTCAGGCCACATTGTCTGATCTAGAAATAACCCTGTTTTAAGACCAAAACAAGACATATTTATTTAGAAAGTGTTTATTCGGTTGTCAGACCAATGTTGAAACAAAACAATACAAGAACAAAGCATTACCAACTGGTATTAAAGGATTTCAAAATGGCTATATTAGCCTGGTTTCGAACCCACTATCCCCGCATGGTAGTCAGACACCTTTACCACTCCACTAAGTAACTTGAAGATTCAATTATACAAAGTGGGGTGTTATTACCTCAATTTGCTCAACTGTTCTTTGCTAAAGCTGTTTCAGTGCAATACATAAAAAATGACCACTAGATGTCACTGTAGAGTGGGGTTTCGAAACGTTTCACAGCTTCGACACATTTGCTTTGACTGTTTCAGTGTTTCATGAAGCCTCGCTTTGCCCACCACTACTGTCACTATGTGCTGCGCTTTTCTTCCACAACACACCCAAACAAGTGCGGTTTCAGAATAAGAGTCCCATTTGTAGGTAACTTTACTAGGTAAATAAACATGAATTGCATTAAATCTGCTTAAATGTGTACACATTAATGGACAGAACTAAATATTATCTGATTTATTTTACATTTAATGTGCATCAAAATTACAATGTGTGTAGCCAATGTTTCAGTGTCTTTTCACTTTTCAGCTTTTTTTGAGAGTTTGTAAGACTTAATGAAAACTAATGTTTTATCTATTTATTTCAGACCTAAGAGAGAATGAGGGGAGGAAAGAGGAGGAACATCATGTCAAAATTGAAGAAAAAAACAATTTACATACTGATGGTATTTTGAAAAGGACATACAAGACTCGTTTCAAATGCACTCACTGTAGAAGGAGTTTTGGAAAAAAAGGCTATCTTAAGATTCACATGATGATCCACACTGGAGAGAAACCATTCACATGCACTCAGTGTGGGAAGAGTTTCAGCTGCTTATCACACCTTAATGTACACATGATGATCCACACTGGAGAGAAACTATTCACGTGCACTCAGTGTGGAAAGAGTTTCAGCAAATCATCACACCTTAATAAACACATGATGAGCCACACTGGAGAGAAACCATTCACGTGCACTCAGTGTGGGAAGAGTTTCAGTCAATCATCATCCCGTAGTAAACACATGATGATCCACACTGGAGAGAAACCATTCACATGCACTCAGTGTGGAAAGAGTTTTAGCCAATTATCACACCTTGATTTACACATGATGATCCACACTGGAGAGACACCATTCACGTGCACTCAGTGTGGGAAGAGTTTCAACTATTTATCACACCTTAATCACCACATGATGATCCACACTGGAGAGAAACCATTCAAATGCCTTCAATGTGGGAAGAGTTTCAGCCAATCATCATCCCTCAATCAACACATGAGGATCCACACTGGAGAGAAACCATTTACATGCACTCAGTGTGGGAAGAGTTTCAGCAAATCATCATCCCTTAATAAACACATGAGGATCCACACTGGAGAGAAACCATTCACATGCACTCAGTGTGGAAAGTGTTTTACCTGCTCATCAAACCTTAATCAGCACATGAGAATCCACACTGGAGAGAAACCATTCATATGCACTCAGTGTGGGAAGAGTTTCAGCCAGTCATCATCCCTTAATTACCACATGAAGTTCCACGCTGGAGAGAAACCATTCACATGCACTCAGTGTGGGAAGAGTTTCAGCCAATCATCACACCTTAATAAACACATGAGGATTCACACTGGAGAGAAACCATTTACATGCACTCAGTGTGGAAAGTGTTTTACCTGCTCATCCAACCTTAATCAGCACATGAGGATCCACACTGGAGAGAAACCATTCATATGCACTCAGTGTGGGAAAAGTTTCAGCCAGTCAACATCCCTTAATTACCACATGAAGTTCCACGCTGGAGAGATACAATTCACTTATACTTAAGCCGCGGTCACACTGGACTTTTCATAACAAGACCTCTCTGGACAGAAATGTAAAATATGGACCAGTCGCTCAGTTAATGTGTAATCATCTTGTTTAATCCCGCCCCTTTTCTAGGGCTGCTCGATTATAGAAAAAATCATAATCAAGATTATTTTGGTAATAATTGTAATCACGATGATTCAAAACGATTATCAGTTAAGTCAAAATTATTTACCCTGAATTTTATTTTTGTATATAAATATTTCCCAAATGATGTTTAACAGGAATTTATCACAGTATTTTCTATAATATTTTTTTCTTCTGGAGAAAGGCTTATTTGTTTTATTTCGGCTAGAATAAAAGCAGGTGTAAATATTTTGTAACCTATTTTAATAGCTCAATATTATCAGCCCCCTTAAGCAATATACATTTTTTGATTGTCTGCAGAATAAACTACTTTTGTACAATGACTTGCCTAATTACATGAATTAAGCCTTTGAATTTCACAATAAGCTAAATACTAGTATCTTGAAAAATATCATCTTAACAAAGATAAAAGAAATCAGTTATTAGAGATGAGTTAGTAAATCTGTCTAGGTTGAAAATAAATCTTTCCATTAAACAGAAATTGGGGGGAAAGGGTCGCTAATAATTCAGGAAAAAACTCTGACTTTAACTGTAAATATGCACAGTTATTTTCCTCCCTGTAAAAAAAGGGAAAGGGAAATACATACAATAGAATAAAAATATGAAACAAAGTGTGCTTTAAAAATCTTAACTGTTAGAAAAAAAACTTCAGCTACAAACATCCTTCAGTCAAGAGCAGTGAGGGATTTTCTCCCTTTGTTTTTTGATTAATAAGAAAAACAGGCGGCAGCAGGAATATTGCGCGCCTTCTCTTTAAGAATAGTGCTGTATAACTGATATGGTTTCTCTTTCACTTGTCTTTTTATTGTTACTTGTTTGTTTATTACACAAATGAGGGTTAATATGAATATTCACTAAACATTACGCTCTGACACAAATCTTATATTTGACCATTAAATCGCTCGCATTAAGATGGCGTTAGATGTGTGTGCTCTGCTTGTCTCTGAGGCTAAGTGCCCAAACACAACAGCATACGCTCTTTTGCGCTTTTAAAACATGAATGATTCGAACATACATCAATGAGTGATGCGCATTCCATGCTGCAAACAACACAGTACATGATTTTAGTCATTTTCACGTGAAACTGAGCTTTGCAGAGCAACAAATGTGTACAACTGGAAAGGGGGCGGTATATGATGCAGTAATTGTTTATCTCAATTTAGTTTTATAATCATTAGAAGCCAAAATCAAAATTGAAACCAGATTTTCAATTAATTGCACAGCCCTACCCTTTTTGCAGTGCCGTACAAAAGAATTCCGCATGCTAAAACTCAAGTGTGACAGCAGCTTTGGTGTGGGATGAGTTTCAGCAACTCCTCAGACCTTAAAAAACACATGAAGACCCACACTGGAGAGAAACCATTCACATGCACTCAGTATGGGAAGAGTTTCAACCGATCAGCAAACCTTAATGAACACATTAAGATCCACACTGGTGTGGAAGAGTATATGTGCTTTGAGTTTGAAAAGACTTTTATTACAGCTCCAAAATTGACACTGCACCTGATGATTCACACTGACGAGGTTTAATTCATTTAACACATCTGAAAACACAAGATTATTTACACTGGTGAGAAACCGTACAGATCTGATCAGTGTCTACAGAATTTCACTCATTCGACACAGCTTAAGAAACACATGGACAAAAAGTTGCACAAATGACATGAATGCACCTAAACATTTTCTCATGTGCACAGGATGTTTCATGTCTGAATAATGTTTGATGTGGCTGAGTGACAGTAAACGCAATCATGGCATCTGGGAGAAGAAAAGTTTTGTAAACATCTGGCAAACAGCACCTCTGTGGTTTAAAATCTCTTTGCAGGTGATTGTACAGGTGCGGATACATCTGTACGCCACTCTCATTTATATTCATGTTGCTTTTGTTGTTTTGGATGGTGTTCTCTGTCTGACTCCCTAAATGAGAAGCAAATCACTGGGAAGACACTGCACATCAAAGAAGGTGGAGCTCCAGGACGATTAGTTTCCAGTATACCAGGGCCTCAAGTTTAGAAAGCCCATTCAATTGTCCTGTGTAGCAGCTTTTTTTTAGTAAAGTTTCTTTACTTTTAGGTTCAAAATTCTTCATAGTTTACTATATTTACTTTTTTGAGTAGAATACAATCGTGATGAATATTTTATGATTTAGGCAGAGCGACATGTATTAAGTTTTACAATATTAATACACTGTGATGATCGCAAGACTCCAAATTGGAGTATGTGGTAAATACTGATTGGTTGCTTAAATTACTTATCAATGGGTAACTAAAAGCTGTTGTGCTAGCTTCCCCAAGATGCTGTGGCTACTCAGGAGTCCTCATGTCAAGACCTGCCATCTCATTGATTCTTTAACCTTATGGTTTTGTTTTGCATTGCTTGTATCATGTAGCTAAAGTGTTGTTGTGATTATATCCTAAGTTCTTTATCTTCATTATTATCCCTAGACATTTATTGGTTGCTTTGATTGATTGTTCTATGAGTTGCATTTTATAATAAATAGTTAGCATTCAGGCTATTTTGTTGACTCTTCTCTCTTTTATGTTGCAACTCAAACAATCGGGTCACAAAACTTTGTAAAATGTGTCTGGTTGTGTCCGAGATCTTGTCTTTTCAATCATGACCATGGGTGCGAGTAGGAACCTAGATTGAGCGGTAAATTGAGAACATTGCCTTTAGTCTTAGCTCCTTCACCACAACAGACAATCACAATAACTGCATAACTGCTGCCGCTGCACTGATCCATCTTTTAATCTCACCAAACTGGAGATGGCCACCTTTTTCAAGTCAAGCACCGTGGTTTCTGACTTGTAGGTGCTGTTTCTTTCCCTGCCATGTCACACTCAACAGCAAATTGTCCCTTTGCATGCTGAAGGTCCATGTCCTATGAAGCCAACGGGACAACATTATCTGCAAATGACAGAGACAGTCCTAGCCTACACCTACAATCATGTCAGTTAAATTATTATATTTTTAAGATCAGCCTAAAATAACACATTTACAAAATAAAATGAATAAATAGATGGATGGATAGACATTGTAGTGATGGAAGGGGAAGTAGGATGTCTTGTCTAACCATAAACCAAGATGGAGCTCTCTCAGAAGGGATGGACCAGTGCGCGAGATGTCTAAAACTGAAGACTTTATTGTTCCAAATAAATTAATTGACTAAATTATCAAACAGTTTTAAATATTGTAAAGAAATATATAAGTAGAGAAGTAACTTTAGGTACGCAATTCATTTTGAGCATGATAGTTTGTTATTTTGAGTACCTCAGAGCAGTGGTTATCAATTCTGGTGCGTGTGCAAAATGAGTTGACATCCAGTGAAAATCAGAAAATATGATGTGTAAGAAAAATTTATCTAAAAACGAAAGGAAAGGGTTAAGTGTTTCAGGACATAAGAGCAAGTAATAAAATAGGCTATAGCCCATATTTCGCCCCGAGGAAGCCCAGCTTTGGCCTGATCAGGCCCTAGAAGTGACAGTGGAAACGCGACTGGCCTGGGCTCCCTCGCTTTAGGTGCGATAGTGGAAATGCGGCTAATGGTTCTGGTGGCTCTCAATGGTGTGGAACACTAGTCAGTTTTTGTTGGCTTGTCACTGGGTTAGTGGGCAACACAGTAGTCCTCACTGTAGTGGGCAGATTTTTGAAGCGGCTTACTTTATTTCACTCCCTAAATAATCTTCATCGAGGGAGACAGCAGCCATTGTGTTGGACCACGTGTTCCATATTCTTGGCCTTCTAGTTGACATGGTTTTAAGTAGGGGTCTGCAATTTGTGTCCAGGTTTTGGGCAGAATTCTGCCGACAGCTGGGGGCGACTGCTAGCCTCTCACGAGCACCACCCTCAGACCAATGGCCAGGCCGAGCAAGCTAGTCTGCAGCTGGAGAGGGTCCTGCATTGCGTCGCATGTAGGGAACCCTTATCTTGGAGTTTTAGATTAATCATGGTCAAATAAGTATTTAATTCTCTTCCCATTTTTTCTATAGGCTTGCCTCCCTTTCAGTGCTACTTAGGCTATCAGCCCCCTCTGTAGACTGATTTCACAAGGCTGCCATTTTAAAAGTGAAATCGAGGCTACGTTTGGAAAAAACTTGGAAGTCACACAGGAACATCGCAGTAATTTCTGGTAGGCATCAGTGAACACTGGCATATCAGCGTTGTTTAAGAACACGCTTAAGCGGCACTTGAATGTTAGTGGGAAATGGATGTTTTTAAAACTTTAGTACTGGGACAACTCTATAACAGACAACACAAGGGTGTGCTACAGAAGACTGCATTGTTTTATCGCTCACCCGATTACATTTACATTTAGTCATTTAGCAGACGCTTTTATCCAAAGCGACTTACAAATGAGGACAAGGAAGCAATTTACACAACTATAAGAGCAACAATGAATAAGTGCTATAGGCAAGTTTCAGGTCTGTAAAGTCTAAGAAGGAAAGTATTAGTAATATTTTTTTTTTTTTTTTGAGTACAGTTAGTGGTATATCCAGAGGCAATTACAGATTAGGAAGTGAAGTGGAGACTAAATAGTTGAGTTTTTAGTCGTACATAGGCTGAAGCAAGGAATCGTCACCACAGTGTCTACCTGGTGCCATGAACTGAATCCAAGGCAGACACTTAAGCGTATTATTCTTAGAGATTGTAATTTTGTTTGATGCCTAATATGTTTTTAATTTTTTTAGTTAAACTGAACTGAATAATATTAAAGTAATGTTTACACCACCTGCATTTTGAAATTGCGGCAACAGCTGGAGGTTTGTAGTCCACAGCATGTTGCAATGTTTACAGTGCTGATCCTATAGTTCCATGTTTTTCACACCACAGCCTAGCTTTCTTCTTTAAAATGGTGGCTGTGTGAAATAAGCATATTCTCTTCCCCAAAACCAGATGCTATTGTTCCCTCAATGCATTCCTTCATTCAGAGATGCCTCTAGACATGGAGGATCACCAGACTGGCAATAGGAATGAAGCGTCTCCCCCATCTATACATGTGTGGTCAGTAAGTCTGGTTTTCTTCCAGAGACATTCCTCTCAGACTTCCCTCACATAAATTGGGACCCAAATTCACTGGACCATTTCCCATTATCAAGGTGCTCAGTCTAGTGTTGGTTCAACTCAAATTAAACTCTAAGTTTAAAAACATTCATCCATTTTTTTCAGATGACTAAGATCAAACCCATTCTTCTCTCCTCCCTGCAGCCCATAACTCCTCTGCCTCCCAGACTGGTTGAGGGTGCACTCACATACACCGTGCACTGGCTCCTGGATGAGTAGAGGTAGAGAGGTTATCAGTATCAAGTAGACTGGAAGGGTTATGGTCCAGAGGAGAGATGTTGGATTCCGGCTCTGGATATTCTGGACCCCTCCCTCATTGATCAGTTTCATCTGGTCCATAGTGAGTCTTAAGGGAATGCGGCGGAAGGGGGCGTTCTTGAGGGAGGGGGTACTTTCACCATACCTAATGCTTTTGCTTTCTCCTACGGTTCTGGGTGACAGGTTATCTCTTGTCATCAGGTTTTATTTGCAGTCACAGGAGCTCTCGTTTCCCTTTTGTCCTGTTTATAACCCTGTATTTGTGTCCAGGAACGCTAGTGAGTGAGTGTTTGGTTGTTTTTTTCCCATGGCACTTCCTTAGTGCTCACCTGATCGGATGTTTACTTTGACTTTTGCTTTTTCCAGGACTCACTCCTCAAACACTTGTTTTTTTGCATTTGAGTAGTAGTGTAAAGGTCTTTAGATTTTGGCATGATGTCTAGCTTTTGAGGCTCTTTTGGACTACTTCACTTTGTCAGACAGGTCATATTTAGGTGATTTTTTGATTACGAACATGTGTGGTAGTAATCAGGTCTGGGTGTGGCTAAAGAAAGCCGGTGTGAGAAATTAAAGTTATGTTTTAATGAGGAAAAACATTTTCACACAAGGCTATGTTGTTCAGTACTTTGTCTTCCTTTTAAGTATAAAAACCTTCATTTAAAAACAGCACAATGTGTTTAATTGCAGCCAATCATCATCCCTTAATCAGCACATGAGGATCCACAGTGGAGAGAAACCATTCACATGCACTCAGTGTGGGAAAAGTTTCATCCGCTCATCATCTCTTAGTCTACACATGAGGATTCACACTGGAGAGAAACCATTCACATGCACTCAGTGTAGGAAGAGTTTCAGCAACTCATCACACTTTAATAAACACATGATGAGCCAGGCTATTAATTTTAAATTCAAAATTCTTCTCCTTGCATTTAGATACCTAAATAGCCTAGCACCCTCCTATCTCTGCAACATGCTTGTCCCCTACACTCCAACTCTTTCTTTACGTTCTGCTGACTCTGGCCTTCTCGCTGTCCCTCGGTACCGCCTCTCTTCAATGGGGGCAGATCATTTAGTGTTATTGCACCTGTAACGAATATGGTGGACCAGACACATAAACATTTTGCATTTTATTATACAACCAGCCAACTTTGCCCAGAGAAGGCTCGAAACCTGATTCCAAGGTATTTACGACCCAAAGGAATGTGCCATGCGGCACTAGGCACAGGAATGACTTACAAAGGACTATTTAAACTGCTTGTTTAACACTGTTTTCATATAAACTTTACTCTATATGTTTAATCATATGTTTTGCAAAGTTTCCCTTTCTCTTGTATTAATATTTTTGGTTTTAATACCCCTGCATATAATTTTTTAACGGTTCCTAGGCTAAACAACCTCCTATACTGTTCAAGTTTGGACTTTTCAAAAAGCTTACTTGCTGTACAAATTGATCGTTGACATTTTATTTTATAATGAGTGCAACATATTAATGTTTTAAGAGACTTTAAAATTTTTTGTCCCAATTTACATAAAATTTGCCTATGCAAATTATTCTGCCTCGGACAAAGACCCATAAATTTAATATTCCAGGAAGTTAGCTTCTAATTGGTCAACTTTCCATGGAGGGTGGATCCGAACCTGCCCTATAAAGTTGAAGACCAAGCTAAACTCCCCCTCTTCGCACGCACTCTCTCTGTTCAAACTCTCCTGGGACCTCTGTTGGGACCCTTTCTTCAAACACGCTGCCTGGAAGCTCCCCCTCTCTCTCCCAACTCCAGGCAAACCCCCCTCTCTGCTCTGGAAACACGTTGTTTTGAAACCTTCTTCAAACTTAGCAACTTCCTCACAAACCTAAGTATTGAAACCTTCAAGAAAGCAGGCAGAAACCCAGACGGAAAGGGTTAATCGCACCACGCTCGGACATTTCTCTGTTCAGAACTTTTGCGGCATCAACCAACAAAGGATCAGCCAACCAACCCAATGCTCAACAACGAGAGTTCGGACATCACGAACAGACCGCAAGTATCACCTTTCTCCCAACA